AATGGGGGAGGCTGTGGGAACGCTGCTTGAAGACTTCATTATTTTCGAGGGAGAGAAGCGCCCTTTCTCGTTAGGGGATTCCTCGCCCGGGGCGACGTCTTGTTAAAATTCCCCGAACTCCATATAACCCGAACGAAGCCCCCCCGCCCCCACCCCCTCTCCACCCCTTCCTCCTCGCGTCTTATTTCGCGAGGCCACACGCTATTAAACTGACGCCTCAATCTCGCGAATCGTAATTGCGCCACAATGGATGGTGGGGAGATTCTCGTGTTTCAACTCGGTTGTACAGCAATAATTATTGTTGCCGAAGTAAAGTAAACTCGTGTATCAACGTGTCTGATCCAACAGTAAATGATCATGGTGTCAAACAATAAATTATTATTCCTAAATTTTCAAAAATTTATTCCATCCACACTTTCATTTATTACAATATGAGAAATTATTAATCCAAGTCGTAGAAAAATTAAAATACAAACTTTTGGATGACCGAAAAATGAAAATAAATGTCGATATAGAATTGGATCAAAAAATGATGTATTAAAATTTCGATGAAATAAATAATATAGTAATAGCAAGAACTGGCAGAGATATAATTAATAAAATTGCTGCAATAAATACTGGATCATGGAAATAATGAAATTTGATCGTAATTTAAAAATTGAAAAATGATATATGTAAAGAAAAAAATTGCAAAATCTAAAAGGTAAAAAGGAATAGGTATAAATAAGCAGATAAAAGAAGATGAATAGTTCATCCTGTGTTAAAACTCGTAATTGTATTTTTTGTAATGTAACAAATTAAGAGGTTGAAACACATCTTTTGAAATGTTGGGAACCAAAGATTTTACTTCATCATTTTCGTTTCTCCCCCCGTAAAGATCGAGAGAGAGGAGTGCGAAGATCGCTCGATTTCCGATCGTAGAACGATTACTGGAACACGTGTCGAAGGATGGAGAGGGCGATTTAAAGACGATCGTTTGGTCGGATGGTTAATGGTCTTTGGTTTTTCTCGCGGCGAGGGTGAGACCTAAGCCCCTGGCGAGCTATCGCTCTGATTGGCCCGGCGTTTAGGGGATGATTCGAGGCGCGATACGGTCGCCGGTTGGCCGGATTTAATTAATCGATCGCACGCATTATCCGGCCGACAAATGGTGGGCAGGCGGTTAGATCGTTCCCAGTTAATGTCGCCGATCATCCGTCATGAAGAATAAACAAGTTTCCGCAACGGAGATGGATAATCTCGCGTTTCGCGAGATTATTATTCGATTATTCGAAAAGGAAAATGGATTGGATTGGAAGATAATTTTTCTTTAAAAAATAAAATTGTAAGTCGAGTAAATCTTGGCAAAGTACGAATCTAGATATTGGAATCGGAGTATTCTTTTATGTGAATACGAATTATCAAAAATTTAACGATCAAAGTATAAATTATTACTGTCTCATAATTTATTCGATGATCAAATATTGAAAATATTATAAATACATAGAATAAAAATGATCGACGAGTAGATACTTACTCATCTTCTTCGAACACGAAAGTTACGTGTGATCGAGTTCAACCAAACGTTCTTCTTTCGTTTCATCGTTCTGAAAATTCTGAAAAAGAGCTAAATATATCTTTATGTTTCGCTTCAAAAAGAAAAAGAAAAAATGAAAAAGGGAAAAGAGAAAGAAACGACGTTTCATCGTGGTCGCCATCGCTGGAAACGGAATCCAGCATCCAGGAGGACCCAGCAGATGCGGAGGGTGCGGAGGATGCCTGGTTTCATAAGTTATCGATTGGAAAGGGAGCCGCCAGGGTGGGTAGGAAGAGGGTTTCAGTCGCCATGGCGACCGAACCTGCGCCCTGCGACTTGAACGTTTACCTTAATGCCCGGGAATTACGGGACGTGATTTTCACCCCGGTTTTCTCCACCCTCTTTCTCCCTTTCTCCTTCGTCGAGGACGCTTTAGGCGATAATGTAATTTTATCTGCGCCCTCTTCCACCCTCCCCCTCCATCCTCCTCTACTCGACGATCTTCCAGAGGCGACACTCCATTCCCTCCCTCCCTGCAATACCAACCCCCTCCCCCGCTTTCCTCCTCCCTTTTTTGCCCCAGTGGTTCGAGCAAACGACGATCCGACGAACGAGACAACGTTTTCTTCGGCAAACAACGTTAGTTCATTGGCCTGAGGCGAGGAATTAATTGGATTCCCGGGAAATTAATTGCGGCAAAAGCCACCCCCGGCTGGAAATTAGAGAGACGTGGAATTTTCGAGGCTGGGAGAAGCTTCGTTGTTGGAGAAAAAATTCTTGACTATTGTGGATTAGGGAGGGGTGAAGACGATATTTCTTTCCCTCCCCCCCCCCTCTCCTCTTTCAATTTATTTCTCGCGTATGAAAATTATTGTTTACAAGTTAATTATTATAAATTAATCCCTCGGGAAAGGAATTAATTCCTTTTTCTCCTCCTCCGATCTTCAAGATTATATCTATGATAAGAGAATAAAAAAAATCAAATGGATAAAGAAGAGAGAAAGCGAAGCAAAATTTGTTAAAAGATCAGCGAGGGTGAAATTTTCTTCGAAAAAGAGGAAAGAAAATCCGATCGCGTTTCACTGCCTGGCTACGCGAGCCATCCCCTCGAGGGCTGTGCCAACACAAGACCGCATTAGCTAACTGCGCCCTGATTCGTCGTCGGATCGATCCCAAAAACGAGGAAACTTAACTCGAATTACGTCACCGGGAGGACACTTAATTCTGGTTAAACCGTTTGCCAGAATTAAAATTTTAAAATTGAGAAAACTATCTTTCCAATATCAATATCGAAATATTATTTATCAAAATGTATGAAAATTCGTTTTGGTAATATGAAATTCTAATGGAAATTCTAATTTGTACTTTATATTTTATAAGAAAAAAAAAAAGAAAAAAAAGTTAAAGATCGATGCAAATGGGATTCATTTTACTTTCTTAACTCACCCTATCAAATTACTATCCACCCGATAGATGGAATCAACAAAATCACCCCAATCTTCATTAAATTTAAAAAGATGCAGAAACACTTTATTTTCAACCCTCGAAACGAGCAATATTGTTAAATTACCGTCCACCATCAACGAAAATCAGCAGCCCCCTTTAATTAACGTTTAAACAAGAATCACGAACGAAGAAATTTATCTTATCTTCTTTCCATAATTATCCCCACAATTATCGATAAAAAAAATTTCCTTGACAAAAATTCCCCCCCCCTTTTCTTTTTTTTTTTTACCCCTTAATCAAGCTATTTTATTAAATCACCATCATCCACCGCCATATATAGAATTAACCTTAAATCACCCTCATCAACCCCCTCCTTCTGAAGTGGCGTGAGTCACGAGCAAATTATCAAGGAATTAGTCGCAAATTAGGTTTCGCCAATTTCGCGGAGAAAAGAGCAGTCTCAGGACGAGGAGAGACTTAAATTACTACTATTTGTATTCTCCGGAGGAATCCACCCCCGCAGGAAAGGCGGAGTCTCGATTCCTCCAAGAGGGATCGTGATACCGTTACCATGGAGTTATGTAAATCGTCGGATTACTCGCCCCTGCAAATTGGAAATAGGGGTTGGGTGGAGTGGTCTCGACACAGTCTTCCAAGCAAAGAGAATTCTTGTCGAATTTCATTGAATATGATGAACAAATGTGTATATATATAATACAATTTGAGAAGTTACGTTCCTCTTTGTGGACATTTTTAAAAAATGTTCTTAGAAAGTTATTAATTATAATAATCTGTGTGTGAAATTGGGAATAATAGTATTGATCTCGACGAAACTTTAAAGGGATCGAGTGTAAGCAAACATTGCTAGTCTCAAACAATTTTTGCAAAATGCAAATAGAGAAAAGGTTGTGAAATAATAATAAAATTCAGAGAAATAACAGTTTGTTCAGAGACAATGCTCGAACATCTATCATTAAGAAGGGTGGATCAGAGGTCGGTGTAAGGTGGCTATCATCCCTGTTGGCGTAACGAGGATCGTGAAACAGGCGCAGAATCGTCCCACGGGCCGTGTTACGCGCATTAACTAAACGGCAACTCTGATTGGCTCCTTTCTACGAGCATCAACCCCCCTGAGATCGAACTGTTGGGGTGGAAGAAGATCAGAAACGATCTCCTTATCTCCTTTAGTGGGTGGAAGAGGGTGGGTGAGTTTTCACATCGATCCATCTCATTTGCAAAGGATTATTTAATTAATTTAACGGAATTATTTTTTTTTTTTTTTAGTATTGTATCTTTCTCTTTATTTCTTAAAAAAAATTTGGAAAGAAAATTTCAAGGTTGTAGAGTTTTGTTCAAAAGATAACATTTTTCTTTGTGTATTGTATTTTTCTATTCGAATTGAATTAAAAAAAATTTCCAAAATAAACTTGGTGCAAATAAACTTGGTAATTTGAAATGTAAACGAATGAAATATCAACGAATCCCCTCGTTCCTTTATTCGCTCCATTTCCAACTCGAATCGAATCAACAACGCGAAGATTGTCCATTTTCTTTAAACAAAGATCGATTAAAGATACATCGATCGTTCATCGCGACACCCGTCTAAATCGCGGATATCAATAGGTTAGGCAAATTGAATTTGATCGTGAAGAAAGGATGTCTTTAGCGGTGCCACGTAAATCGGTGCTGGAGCAATGGTTCTATGAACCCAAGGAGGAGCCCCTAACCTTTGACGATATATTGTTGTATCTGGGCAAGTATAAGAAAATAACTCGACGCCGCTCTCATCTTTAATATCTTTGCACTTGATTCTCGTAGTACAAGTTTTTCTCAATTAAATCCACTTTACTTCGAGGAGAAAATTAGAATCGAATTTCCTCTCGAAAATATTTTAATAATTTTTTAATTTTCCTCCAGGAATTTTTTAAAATTTTACTTTTACATTATCCTTGTAAATGATAAATAATCGCACGCATTAAAACTCGTATTTGCATCGCCAATTATAGATAGATTAAAATAATAAAAATATAATAATTGGATGACTTTCTACTCTTCAATACTCTTGATTTCAATTACATCTGAACCAGGCGAATTCGGCTTGTACCAAAGATTCCTTTTCGTCATACTCATGCTGTTCTGCTTCTTCCTGACCTTCGTCTACTTCACACAATTGTTCCTGATCGTGGTGCCGGTCGAGTTTTGGTGCGAGATGCCAACAGTGGAGGGCTTCACCTCGGAGGAATTAAGGGACTACATGATACCAAGCTCGACTTTGGTCGCTTACGAGGGGCACGATTTGCCCTATTCTCGATGCTGGATATACGACGTACCCGTGAAAACAGCGATGGAGGCCAAGGAGCCCGATCCAAAATGGCCGATGAAGAAGTGCGACAAATGGCACTTCAAAACGACCCCTTTTGACGTGCCTTACATATCTGTCGCGGCCGAATTTGGCTGGGTAATCTCATCATTAATTCAATTTCGAAACAATAACATCGAAGATAAATATAAATAACCAAGATAACAGCTAATAACTCGTCTACGCTCTATCAAAACTCCATTTCCAGGTTTGCGACGACGCGTACAAAGTGACACTTGCTCAGAGTATATTTTTCAGCGGTTCCATTCTCGGGGGTTTAATATTCGGCTGGCTGGGCGACAAATACGGAAGGATCCCGGCCGTCGTTTTGTCCAATTTATTGGGGTTTATCGGTGGCCTCTCCACCATATACATCCACACATTCTGGCAATTCTGCGTATGCAGGTTCATCGTTGGCGTGTCCTTCGACAGCACCTTCGTGTTCGCTTATATATTAGTCCTGGAGTACGTGGGGCCCGGGTGGCGCACGTTCGTCGCCCACGTCTCCTTCGGCCTGTTCTACACATTTGGCGCGATATGCATGCCGTGGATGGCCTACTTCATAGCCGATTGGAGAACGTTCGCCCTGGCGACGACCATACCTCTCCTCACCGTCCTATTAATGCCGTTATTTATTCCTGAGAGCGTCAGGTACTTCTCTTATCTTTTTCAATACGAGCGAATTCGAAAGAAATTTTTCCGCGCAGGTGGTTGATCGGGATGAAGAAAATACGCAAGGCCATGAAGATTATCTCGTTGATCGAGAAAATAAATCAGAACAAGATACCCGAGGACGTGTACGAGGAATTCCAGGAGGACTGCGAGAAAGCTATAGCCATATTGGCCGAGGACGAGATGTACACGCTGCTGGATCTGTTCAAGACAAGGCGTTTGAAGTAAGGCTGAAACAAACAATTGTTATACAAATTGTCGAGATACCTTTCAACAGAAGGATCACCATCCTGCTGACATCAGTGTGGGGCATAATCCAGATGTGCTATGACGGGCACATAAGGTGCCTGGACACCCTCGGCCTGGACGTGTTCAGCACGTTCACGATCGCCTCCATCACCGAGTTCCCGGCCGAGATGTTGGTCGTGTCCACCCTGGACACGTTCGGCCGAAGATGGACGTTGTTCACGGCTATCACCGTCTCAGCCGTGTTCAGCACGTTCGCCGCCCTCGTGCCCACGGTGGGCCTGACCTTCGCCTCGTTCGCGATCTGCAGCCGCCTGTTCATCAACGTGGCGTCGAACATCGCGCTTCAATACGCGGCCGAACTCCTGCCAACCGTTGTCCGTGGCGAGGGCGTGGCGTTTATACACGTGATGGGATACGTCACCTCGATCTTCAGCCCCTACATCGCCTTCTCCGCCAGGATAATGTACAACCTGCCGATGATCATACTCGCTGTATCGTGCTTCTTCGGCGGGACCATGTGCCTGTTCCTCCCGGAAACCTTGATGGAACAGTTGCCCCAATCGTTGGTGGTAAACATACACAGATCAAAAATCTATATTTGACTATATGCGCCAGTATTCGATATATCTTTCTAAAATCTAATCTATCCGAAATTTAAAAAATTTCGTACTTGAATTTGTTCTTATGGAAGTTTATGTTGATTCGAATGATCAGTTGCTTTCTTTCTTCGTAAATAATTAAATATATATATTGATTTAAGGATGGAGAGTTGTTCGGGATCGATCAAATTTTTTGGGAGACACCATTGACGAGGAAGAAACCTTTGGAGCCGGTAGGGCTCCATTTGCACGCGAAACGTCCGGTCAGACGACCAGATCTGTTGCGAAGCAGTATGATTTCCGGTGTCAAGGGCATAAAGAGACGACACACTAAGTTACTAGAGAAAATAGACGAAATGAGAATCACTCAAAATCAGTAAAAGCGGTAAAGTTAGTTTTAACATTGTGAGAAATGTTTTTGAATCCTAATGACAGAGAACGAGGAGGAAGAAAGAGAAGGATGAAAAATTTATTTGCCAATTATTGTTCGAATAATGAACAACGTGTTGTTCGCTTTTATTCGTATTTATTATTGCACGTGCACGTACACAGTGGATCGATTCATTCGAGTTGCTGCTTAAATTTAACTTAACTAAGGTTAAATTATATACCTTATTTATTATACTATTTAAAATTTAATTTAAATTATGATATGATTTAAAAATAATGATATGATAATAATGTAACGTATGCGATAAAATTGTAGATTAGAAAATATTTTTCGAATAAACGAAGTTTGTAAGACGAGTAATTATGAAAATCACTTTGAACTAAAATTTGAACAACTGTATTTTTTTTTTTCAATTTCAATTTCATTCAAGAATTCGTGTTTCACTCTTTTAATCGTTCAATTTAATTAGATATATATACAGTTGTCAACACTTTTTGTTGGAAAATCAAAGATTTTAAATTATTTACCGACTAATAATTTAACACTTACAAAAATATATTTCTTCGTCCCTACGCTTTCTCCAAAATTTCTCACGTCGAAAGGATCGTGTAATTAATAACAATTAAACGAGCAGGAAGTTCGAGGTGGACAGACGTTTAGTTAATTGCCGAAATTAGCGACAACAGGGGTCCTCGACATGTGGACGGCCACATACCTCGTATCTCCTTTCCCTTTTCTTTGAAAACGCATAAATCCGCCGCTGGCGTGGCTTTTCTTCTTGTTTCACCCGTGTCCCGTGTGTCACCGTGGGTGGTTGACTAAGAAAAGAAACGTTGAAAAAGTGAGAAAACGTTCTCGTTACGTTGCAGAATTCGGCCCCTCTACGATTTATCACAATTTACTCTGGAATTTGTCACGATCAGTTTCGAATATATCCAAAAAAAAAAAAAAAAATTCTCTAAAAATGATTTTCAATGGAAATAAATCATTTTCTTCTTTTGAGTTCATGCTTCTTTGTAGATAGAATTTCTTGTAACGATGAAAGTGAATGTGTTGCGATATAATATTGAAGATGGATATAAATGAATTTGTTTATCTTCGATGAAAATAAGCAATTTCTTCCTTCGAATGCATTCTTGTAAAATGACGAATGCATATGAGTTCAAATATTATAGGAACATTATGTTGAGAGATGAATATAAATATTTTAAAAAACGAATTTTTTTCTTTTTCGATACTTGCTTACTTGTAAGCAGACCTTTTTATCATTATAGATATGGATACGAATTATATTATTATATTATATTATTATATACGAATTATATTAATTATATTAGAAGAGAATATTGGAAATGGATATTTTGGAAAAATTTTCTAATTTTTTTCTTTCATTAAATACTTCCTTGATAGAATTGATTCGTGTGGAAAGGTTTGATACGGAAGTGAGATTAAACGAGATTTGAGATTGATTTCGAAAGATTGTTTAGAAATAAAAAAAGGGATAAGAATATATTTTTCCAAGTCGGTTCTTCAGTGTACCGTGTGAAATCCGAGAGGAATTCATAGCTCGTCACTTGAGACGACTAATGGGCCCATAATGACCGAACAACGTGTCCGGGTTGCCAGGCACACTCAGCTTCGTCAATCATGCGGAAAATAAAGAGGTTTGGCCATGCTTCGTGATGAAATTTTATTCTCTCTATTGTTTCCTCTCATATTTTCTGCCGGGGAATATTTCTTTTTCGAAACATGTAAAATTTATCATCAGACAGATTTAAAATTTTCTATATAATAATCTCAAATTATCCAAACGAAGCTTGTCAAAATAAAAACTTTTTATTAATTAAATAATTGTATCTCATCTTCAAATTCATCAAACTCATTCCTTTTAATCAAATTCGAAACAAATTCAAAATAATTAATAAAAATAATTATTTGAATCTAACCTCTTTCCTTTCTAAACTTCACACACAATTCGTCATACAAACTGAGAACATGCTCGATTACCCAAATTGCTCAAAGTAACCCAAGAATAGCATCTTTCGATCCATCCTAACCTCTCTCTTCTTCATTTATATGTTCGATCACTTTACCACGCTAAAAATAACCAAGAATAATATCTCTTTATCCAACCTAACCTCTTTCCTTCAAACTTCATATTCACTCATATATGATACCACTTCCTCTAAAAAATAAAACACGCCTCAAATCAAAGACTAATCAAGAAAAAGGAAGAGATAATGTTCCTCGAAAATCGCGTTTAACCATCTTCGACGACAGAGGAGAAAGAAAAATAATCTCGTTCCGGGAGCGCATAGCGCGGTTTCCGTATCTCAAGGAGCAATGGCCGCGCGTTGACAGTGGAAACGAGTGCGAGCTCGTAAACGCGAGATTGCCTGGCCGCTTTACGATCTTTCTATCGCGTTTTCGGGATTATTTGAGAAAATGGAATCCTTTGTAAAAATAGGGGGTGGCGCCTGGTGTACAGAGATTTGTCCGCCAAGCGGATGAAAGTGTGTGTAAGCGTGAAATGCAAACCAGCTGGAAAATCGTAAAAAGCGGGGGAATGTAACGAAAGCGTAATCGGTGCGGCTGGTCGAAACACGCTGGTGGGCGTTGCACTTGGAGAAAGAGAAAGGGGATGAAAACGAGATACCGAGTGTGTATGGCGGAGCGTTTTATTGCGGCCGCGTCCTCGGAACGAAAGTTCTCGTAAAAAAAAAGAAAAGAAAGAAAGAAAAAAAAAAGGAAAAGAGAGAAAAAGGACCATAAGTTGTAAAAGTTTCACCCCCTGCACTTTGTCTCTTATCGACTTTGCTTTCTTTTTTTCCAACTTTCCTTTAACATTCGACGCTAATGAACCGTGCGCGTTGAAAGTGAGATTAGAGGGTTCTCCTCAATTTCGTTGTTAACAGAAATTATGTTACACAGTTTTTATTTTCGGGGGAAGGAAAGTGGTTTCTTGTTGCGAGTTGCTTCGTTCCGGAAGAGAAGAGCTGTTTTAAATATTAATGATAAAACGAGATGAAAAATTTCTCTATAAATGTTGGAAATACCTTTTTCCAACAACTCCTTGCCAAAAAAACAAACACGATTCGCCTTTCCAACCATCCATCATCATCCTCTTCCACTTCTCTTCAACGACTGGCAATAACCAGAAATCTCGCGATTCCGTTTCTCGACCTGAAAACGCTCGTACCGTTCTCTCTGTGCAAACAAACGATCATCCTCCCTACAGGGTGCAAGAGCGCGGCCCTAAGAAGGAAAAAAGAAAGAGAGGAAAGAAGAAGAAGAAGAAAAAGAGGAGAAAACGTGGCACACCACACGTGCGCCTGAAAGCCGACTTTCCGGCCAATTTGCGCCGATAAAACCGAACGCCGCGCCACGCAGTGGGCTCGAAGGCAAACAGGCCATGGCTACCATTGCCGAGGACGCGTCCCGCCACGGCAAACCGGCAATTTTCACCTTCCACAACTATCGTTTCCCTCTCTTTCCACTTCGAAACGATCATCCTCTTCGAATGTTGCACGGCCGCCTCCCGGAACGATCCTCTTCTGCTTCCTACGTGATTGCTCGCCGGCAACTACTGTTTGTTTAGCAGGCCACTCGAAACTGCGCAAGATTTTCGCAATTTCCGCCGCGTTTCAGCTCCCTTTCGCGCGAAATGCCTGGTATTTTTACATTTCTCACTCCACGATTTGTTTGCTTTAGCTTCGGTTTTCAGTGCGTTTACAAGAGTCGTTTCGAGGCGTCTTTTGTTCTCAGTTTTTCCTGTTGTTTTAGGGAGAAGTGGCGTTCGAAAGGTGAAGGAGAATGACGAGAAACCGGCTGAAATTGTGTCTGCAATCCATTTTGATGTAATTAGTTTATTGAATATTTCGAAAAGAATATAAATTTTTCTGTTTTTCCTGTTTTTCTTTTCATTTTCTATAATTAATTAATTGCTTATTTTTATAAATGTAGTTCCACTCTTCGTAAGTAGAATGGATATTAATATGAATATTGAACGAATGAAACGTAATATTTCTATGATATTTCTTCTATATATTTTTCTTCTTTGCTCTTCGATTCTTAGCTTCAGTTTGGGATCAGTAACAGGATTTTTCTTTTCAGGTTTCTTTCGCAGAATTTATTATATAGGAAAGAAGAAGGATTGGAGTTTGAAAGTATGGGATTACGTGGAAAACGAGGAGTCTGAAATTGTGCCTGTAATTCTGCGTTGCGAGAGTTTACTGCTGCGACCGGCCAGGTTGCACAGAATCGAGCATCGTTCGCCAAAATGGAGGAAACTTCTGCGGTTTCCGGTATATAGTCGACGGGGTGAGAAGTGTGGACGAAGCTCGCTCCCGTAGACTCGACGATCGTTCGAGTTTACGACCAGTGATGGATGTTCTTCCCCTCCCTGTTGGAATTCGATTCTCCTTTACCTCGTTTTTCGAGTCGACTCGTATCCGAAAATTTAAAAATTTAAAAATCACAATTTAAAATTGAAGCTTGATAAATTTTTATGACACATCCCCTTCCAATCTTCCAAAATCAATAAATTACTTCTCGACTCGAAAAATAAAAAAAAATTGCTCGCTTGAACAAGCATAAATTCCCACAATAAATAATACAATTTTCAAGGGATAAAAAGGGATTCCAACTGGTTCCAAAGCTCGGTCGAGAACGACAAACTCCTTTGTCCAAGATTAAAAATAGAAGAGAAAAAATAAAAAAGGTTCCGTGAATTAATAAAATATTTCCAAAAATAAAAATTCCAACTTCTCCCTACCTCGAACGTTTCTACCAATGAAAAACAAACGTACGTATAATTACCATTCACCATTGTACCAGCGATATTATCACAGGCGTGCCGTGCGTGAAGTATCGCCAAGGCACGACCCACATCACGATCCGAAAAATTAACAACGCCATCGGTTTTTTCTTCTTTTAATTAATGTTTACGGCTCGGCTGTAAAGCGGTACGGACACGGGCATCGATTTTAA